GCCCTCCGGATCGGGCTGGATTCAAGAAGGGCAAATCGTTTAGTGATCAAATTGTGTTTATGCGCATCACCATCGAACAAAGCAAAGAATGCCAGTCAAACCCCTACCTCAATCTCGTCAACTTTCAAAAGGACTTCAACATACAGCGTAGAAAGAGAAGTAATTTGGAAACTACTTTAACGCAATGAAGTGCAGTGCCCAAATATCTATCACTCTCATCCAAAAACTGGTCAAATGACGCGCCGGAAAATTTAGTCAAGCTACTGAGACGAAGACAGGAATAAGACAAGGCTGGCTGCCTATTATCACGCAAGATAATATTCCTAATTTTGATGGACTGTATTATGCTTCAGATTGTGTGTGGGGAGTGAGAGGAGAGAAATATACTGGATCACCGATAAAAATGTCGTAGAAGATCTGGATTTCTCGGAAGATTTATATCCAATGTCACACAAACTCGAAAACTTAGAGAGGAAATCCAACCAAACATCTGAAGAATCAGTCAGAGAAGACAGGACTCCAGGTGAACAACCAGCACCAATGACCATCAGCATCAGAGATTTAACAGAGGTTATTTCCTGCCTCCAATTATCTACGAAGCGTCGTTTCAATTACACACACATGGCACGGATGAAGATGTCAAGCCAGTCAGAGTTGGAAAGGGAAGATATGCCTTCATCAATCTGAAACCAGTTTGGAAATCTTCTGCACTACACTTCACACCATTAAGAACAAGATTCGGATTTCTCAACACAAGCGTGAAGTCAACGACTTCTTTTATATGGGTCAGAAAATTGGCCGATATATCATTTAAAGCATTTGCTGCAGACTTTCACTAACACTCGCCATCACCGGCTCCATATTTAGGTTCGGATGGCCGGAAAGCATTCCTGACAAATAAGCTGTGGGAACAAACTAACCAGGAGCCTATCGTTCACTAAATATGTCGGAGAGAATGGAGGTGGATTGATTGCACGCTGGGAGGCCATCGGATGACATTGAGCTCAGTGCAGGCCATCGGTCGAGCTGGACCTAAACGGAAAACGACGATTGTGGCGTGTACCCGAGGTTTATATGGAGGAGATCGTGAGTTGTGAAGTAGGAGATGAGAGACTATTGCTAATTGTGTGCCCATCTGAAGAGGACAGCCGAAAATAGAAGAGAGTGGAGAAGTGCTGTTGAAGCCCTATTTTTCACTTGGAACGTGATGGGACAATAATAGTAATGGTGTCAAGTTGATTATGTTTCTCTAACAGAATTTATTTTATAACTCCGAATACATTCATTCACTCTGGTGTACCTCATTATCGTTTGTGTATGTTACCATTTTTGAAACATTAAGAATATTTCATCTTGTGGTGGTCAAATTTTATGCCTTAAGCGCCATCATATATACATGTATGCATTTTAAATTTTGTGTTTTGTAGGGATTTCGATTAGTTTCATCACGGATTTAATCACGAAAAGATATCGATAAGAGGATCATTCTAAATCCAGTAGCACCGAACAGCTGTTGCTTTTCACCTGTCGACCTTTGAGTTTGTGTGACATCGGATTTAAATCATCCGTGAGGTCCAAATCTTCTAATGTCTTTTCGTCGGCTCAGCGTATGTCCGATTTCTCGCTCCACACTACCTGATGCATAGCAAAGTCCATCACAGTCAGGCAGATCGTTAGTAACAGCGGTCAGCCTTGTCTTACGCCTGTCTTATCTCCAGAGGCTTCACTGACCTTACATTGCTAACCACTTGGCGTGCAGCATTATCATATATTAACGAATGAGGTAGATAGAAATTTGCGGCACTTCATCTCTTAGTACTGAATCAGATCCCAAATCCATTCATAGTCCACACTATCGAAGGCCTTTTTGGGTCGATGAAGTTGGTGTAAAGGTGCTGTCCACTATTCACCCTACGTTTGGTTATATAACTTTGGGAAAAAGTTATTTTCCGTTGAGCAATCTATCTTTTAAGAGAGAATTTCGAATAATTTAATAATCACATGACTTATAAGTTGCTGTGTCAACCAAGTTGACAACTGTGAGGAAAGATACCGAGAGAAAGTAACGGCTGTGAGTTATGATATTTTAAAAGTGAACAAGTACTGCAAGCTGATTTACGGCTTTTGTACTGAAAACACTGGAGTTCAAAAGAAACCAGTTCAACTTCCGTATTGACAACTGACCTAGTCGTGTTCATCTGGTTAGTTGCGTTTTTCATTCCCTTCATTTTTATCAAGTGTATTTGTAAACGTTTTTATGCGCATCCTGTCCACATATATGTGGTTTAGAAACTACTTTACATATTATGCAAGTATTTTTCTGATCTTAATTTATTTGTTTTTATGCCCGTTGTAATCTACATCCATCTTTCATCTCATTTTCAAACTTTCAAATCAAGGAGAAAATCATTATCTCATTTAATCTCCCATCGGTACTATACTGAATTAAATAATTATTGTAAAAATGCGAAATAATGTATGGAAATAGGATTCTTCAGCTTTTGAAGATGAAATCGCAGGAAGCATATCTTCACTGATCTTCTTGTTTTTACTACCTACAGGATAGTTTACTAGCAAGTAAAAATAATCAAGTTTTTGAGTGTGATGTAATTTCCCACAGTTTAGTCCTATTTGTTGGTTATTTTTATGTGTATTTATGTGCCTATTTGGGTCGTATTCTGCACATGAATTATTCCTCTTCAACAAATGAGTAGAAGCCGTGTAAATAAAGTTTTGAATAGACAATATTTGGCAAATTATTGGCGTAATTTAGGATGAATTATACTACTGCTGATTTTATGATCTTCCCTATGAGATTCAAAGGTTTTACAGCTGTTATTGCCGCAAAAATTGAGAACTGAAGTTATATGTCAGCTGATTTCTTTGTAGGTTGTAAAAAAAATGTAGATAAAACCCAAGTTGATGTTGGGAAGATACCTGTTCATTTTTGTGTTAAGGCTGGAGAGACTGAGGTAAACTAAAACCCTAACCTCTTGTTTGTCCAGCTTCTAAAACATTATTATGCTAGCTAACTAGGAAGTACGTCTGCTTTACATTCGCCTCTTTATTAATTTTTTTAACACAAATTCTGATGCATTTCCAAACGAAATTCCCTGATAAATTTATTTTTTGATTATAGCTTGATTCCACACCGTATTATTGGTACAAGTACAGAATTTTCAGCATGTGATATCGGTAGCCCAAATTTTGCGGGCTGACCAGGTGTGCGTCGACCAGGGATCGAACACCCAGACCATGTGCATGGTCGGCGAGAGCCCTAACCTCTATGCCACCGACGTGTTGTGGGTGCCTTATCTCTGCCTTCTTTTCCGAACGAAACCGTTTTACACTTTTCAACGATGTTCAAATTAATCAACAATTACACTTCACCAGAAAAGTTTTGTTTGTGATTTATAAACTAACAAGTCAGTATATTCAAATGGTAGATACTCATTCCATTCGCAATATTCATTCCTCTTTGACGAAATTAGGAGTTTGGTTACTTCTAAAGTCCAAGTCCAGTGTAAATGTATTCAGTAATGTTCTAGGTGGCCCAATTATTAAATGCAGTTCGCTGACTTTGAAACCTAATTTTCTGAGAAATTTCATAGGATTTATACAAAATCTGTCATTTGTGGAGCTCATTTCATCACCGGTTACACGTGTCAAACGTCAGCTTTATTGAAAATCTCAGTGAATTTTGTTTATTAAAACAACATGTGAAAATTAAATCTTTGGTCATTTGAAGTTGTGAACATCACTAAAAATCCTAGAGTGAAATATCTGACAGAGAGATCTCTTCACCATTAATTAGCCGGATGTAGCACTATAGCCTAACCGTATTGCTCCCTCGAAGAAATAATAATTTAAAACAGCTTCTAGACCGATGCACTAGATGGATTCAATTACTGGCCTGAAATCAAATGCATCTGTAGCCATTTTAACTGCTAGATGATCATTTAGGAGATCTTTCCGCCTAGAATAGTTAACAGTATGTGAAATATTATGTAAGCGAGAAGATCTACTGCAAGTACTATAACTAATGTGGTGTTAAGTGAAGCATATTTGCAGCTGAATCTGAAAATTCTTGTTTTAGCTACAATATATACATGAATTCTGAAATCTTGTTCAGCCCTTAGTTTAGTTGATGAATAACTTCCATATGGGGAGCTTACAAATGAGAAAGTTTATTTATAGAGCATTTATATATGTATTACATTGCCTGATATTTAATTCAATTTAGTTTTTTGAGTCGACTGACTGTATCGGTATCAGGTACACCATCAATCACTGGGGAATGCAGGTAAATTCAGTGACGAATCCCGAACAGGACGAAATTCGCATCCCAGGTTCCAGTGATAGTCATCATCGCCCCATAGGCATTGTCGAATTGTTTCATTTTAGTTACCACAATACATTAGAATCCTACTGTTGACTTGGCGCGTCATGAAGAGCATCTCAAACAAACTTAAGACCTTCATCAACAGCTGTCTTCGCTCAATACTCAAGATCAGATGGCCACAAAAGGTCAGAAACAGGGATCTCTGGGAGCAAACCAACACAGCAAGAACCGATTGCGAAACAAATAGGCAGGAAGAAATGGAGATGGATTGGCCATACTCTGAGGAAACAAACCATCAAGTGACATCACTAGACAAGCCATTACTCGAGTGGAACCCGAAAGGGAAAGGGCGAGTTGGTCGTCAGTGTGAGGTTGACTTAGAGGAGGTCATGTGAGGAGGAGATGAAAGCATGTGGGCAGACTTGGAGGGGAGTGAAAAAGTTGGCAGAAAACAGAAGGCAATGGAGATGCGCGGCTGAAACCCTATGTTCCTCCAGGAATTAAAGGAAATAATAATACTGTTGAAGTGACTGAAGATTTTTGAATAAATTTCATAAAATTTAAGATACTTCATAAGTACTGGAAACTTATAAATGAATACAAGTACCAAAACATATGAAATAATATAAATAGTTATAAGGGATTTCATGCGAATTACCTTACTGTCAGGAGTTTTTAGAGAATTGACGATCAAACACTGAGCGGAATTGGCGAGGTCAACGACTGTTACACCTGCTGCTGATGATTTATCGATGAATGTCTCGCTTGTTGTGAATCTTTGTGTAGACATAGGTGAAATTATTCCCAACCGGCGATATCCAGTGGGATTATATATTCCACGCATATTTGCCGAGTAGAAACCACTGTATACGCGTATTCTGCTGGGACTTGATTGTCGAATTCCAAATGAACTTTTAAATGCACCTGGATAACCTTTGTGATCGTGCATTTCATTGCAAACGATTGGCTGTTTATTAAAAGCTGTTAATTCTAGTTTTCCATGCATAGAAAGACTGGTTTTTGGAATCTGAAACCATGATCTCTCCTAAAATTGAGGTTTAAAGTTTATACTTTAATCTGCATATTATCAAATCACTTTTGTTTTCATTTATAAGATTAGTAGACTAATGCATAAATTTTGGATATAATACATATTGATAACGTTAGACTTTTTTGATTATTACTGTTATGAGTGAAAGAAATCAAAGTACATTAATCATGTACGTATTTATTCAGTCTACGGGCAATTCAAAGTGAAATCTACATTGAATAATTTTAGACTGATAGAATTTAAACTTTACGTCAAGACAGCTGATATCACAGTTACACATAGTACTGATTTCATCACAAGAAAATGAACAGTAGTTTTGAACTATCACTTTTAAGCGATAAGTTTTATTTTTATTAGGTTTTTATAGTAAAATTATTATGCTAGGTGGTTGGAAGTTATCGGTAGGATGCCATGGATCTAAATTTCGCAGCAACACTAAATGATGTGGCTATGAATCTGTGAGTTAGCATCAGTTCGTCAGGGCTGGAAAGTACGCTGTGTAGACGAGTATCAGTAAGCCCGAAACTTGGGTTCAAGGCATCACGCAGACTGCCTACAACTAGCTAACATTAATTCTCAGTGCACAAGTGTGGTGAGTTATCTAGTTTGGTGACGATGACATTGCAAACTTGACAGATAGAATTTAGTCGGCGCTGGCACCAGAGACTAAACACGTGTTAAAATAATCCTGAATACTGTAACGATTGAAACTCACTAGAATAATAAATTTTTAAAGCCAATTTTGCGTTTACATATAGCCACTGAAAGTGCTGGATTTTCATGAGTATTACTATTAATGTGAATTAGATGAACACTGTTCTAATCGTCTTCTATTCATTTGAGTAAATCAGTCGTGCATTTCATTATCTATATAATTTAGTACACTATAGCTATGAAATATTAACCATAATTTTATGAACCAAGAGATTATTTCTTATAGAACTTAAAAATGATAATTTTATTTCTACCAAGAATTTACAAGTTACACTTTATTTTCTACGCTGTTAACATGAAACACTCCTAAACTTTTATGTATAAATGAATCGGACTCATGCAAATGAGGATGTGCTGAAGAAAATTCTCAAAGCACGAAAGGAAAATAAATTTGTAGTTACTTTTTATAAAACATTTAACCCTACATAAGTATTCTTACTTTTTCCTCCCTTTTATTCCTTTAAGTTCCCAGTGGAACACTGGACTTTAAGCTAGAGCTTTGAAGTTTCGGTAGCAGTGGTGTTTATTTTTACAGGATGGGGTTCCTAGTCTCATGCCTGACCTTCCGTCTTTACCAGTCTGATTACTGGCTTAGGAAGCTTTGGGAGTGCGTCGATCAAGGATAGGACCTCGAACCACATGAGGCGTGGTTGGCAAGCATTCCACCGATCTGCTCCCGACGCATATTCTGACTCTGATTGACATGATTTTGATTGTGCAGCATATAAATATCTATTTTAGTTACATTATGAGACGCATTTCGATTATTCTTCTTAAAGAAAATTGAAAATATACAAACAGTTATTATTTGTACGACAGACACTCGTAATCTCGTATCAACTCGACTGAATCATACAGGTGACTAGATTCTATGTACATCGGTTTCTCTTCAATTGACTGCATTTGGAAGTATACAAGTAATTCTAAAACCTATCATAGACACTGACACATTTAATTAGGAAAGAAATTTTAATTTTGATGTTTATTTTCTTGACTGACTCCTTTAATATTATATATCTTTTAATAAAAATAGTAAATGGAGAATGAAAAAAGAGTATTCTATGTGTAAGAAAAAAGTCAGTGATTGAACTCACAGATTTCACTGATTGCTGGAACATTATTCTCTGGTTAGAAAATTTTTCATAGGTAGTCGATTTCAATCTACGTGCATTTCGGATAGTAGAAGTGTTTTGCTTCGAATATTCTGTATCGCATAGGTTATTATTGGGTCGTTCGTCATGTGAATTCGGCAGAGGAACATTTAGCGTAATCGGACTCGTAGATAATTCTCTAGGCGTGGTGTTCGTCTCAGGACTATTCATAAATTGACAAAATAAATACTTGAATGCTCACTTCGTTCCGAAACATTCAGTGCATTAAATTATAACTCATATGAATCTTCTTTTAAGTTCACTATTGATTTAATAATAAGGAGTTTTGATTAGTTAAGAGTGTATTTTATTGATTTATTGTGACAGTTGCACAACCTATCAGCACAAAAATTTAAGTATTAGAGACTAAATATTATCTAAGTGACTTTAAATAGAAAATATTTCAAAGTCGTACACTTTTTTTCGAAAGCCACCATTTCATTTGACTCTGAAACCAATAAACAGTTTTACCAGAAGCTTACTATTACATTTTTCGAAGGAAGACATTCCGTTGATTGGTTTCCAGAAAAATTTCACCATCCGCCTGGGTCCTAGCGTTGAATAACTTGTTTTTTCTATGCTCATGGGTCTCAGTAGTGAAGGGGTTATTTTCAACGAGATGGAGTCACTAGCCTTACACCCACCCTTTCCTCAGTTCCTATCTTAGGGCCTGCTATTAAAGTGGGCCACGAGTCTGACCTACAAGTGTGAAGTAGATGAGATTATGGGAAAAGGAAATGAAAGCTTGTGAGCAGCAGTCTATTCAGATAAAATGATGGCAGAGAACAGACTACAATGGAGGTGTTCTGTTGAAGCTCTGTATTCCAAGTGGAACTCAGAGAAGGAATAATTACTTGAATGGAAGACACCTGTAGATAAAAATAATTGATAGTGGTGTGGTGGTGGTTGTTGTAAAAACCTGTTTGCATGAAAATTCTTCATTGTTCTGCCTTTGATACGCCAAGATCCTTATCTTTTTAACTGATCATATGGTGAACTGAATTATAATAGGTCCTTTGCGACTGACTCTGCTTCATGATAACTTGTACTCATGCTGAACTTTGAGTGTATTTATCACATAATTTCGTTCCGAATTCATTGATATTTTGTTCACTCTCAGGATTTTAGCTTTTCTTTTTCAGCTGATCACTATTGGATCATTGAGGATTTACTGTTTAAATACATAGAAAGGAATTGGTCTCTATGATGACTTCTGACTTTAGGTAGATCGTTTTTGCAGAAAATTGGTAAACTACAATTGCTGAATTTAAAGATACCATAGGTGAACAGGATAGGCTTAAAATCGAATGAATATGTGATTGACCAACACATTTATAGTAGAACTAAACAACCTTTCATTTAGTTAGGGTATATATTTTTATTTTTTACATTCCTGCTAGAAAAAGATAACTATCATTAACCAACCCTACGCTGATTTCGATAAGATACGTGATTGACGTTAAAGCAACGTAAATACCGTGAAATATAATGATTTTAAAGTAATCAACGAAATTAATCAGACCAGAAGCTAATGCCTGATGTCATATGGCGAAGACATGAATTTAAATTATGTTGGGATATCACTGTCTCTATTTGTTAAGAAACATTAGTCTTAATTTAAATTTTGAATTTTGAACATGCACATATATTTTCTTTTTGTGGAAATAACTCTGACTACTTGCATTTTCAAAGTAGTTTCAGAAGAGCATAGAAATTTCACAAAGAATCAAATATTAGTTAAATGAAAACATTATCAGTCTTAATATAGGAGAGCGTATTAATTTCAGAATCTCTCAACAATGCACATAATGAAAGGTTGTTATGTACTGGTCGAGAATTTAATAGTCCTGACGCAAGAAAGATGGAAATCAGAAGACCACTAGGTTTGCGATGATACTTCAATTTTACAAACACAAGGAGAATCCAAGTCACACAAAAGTGTGAGAGCAAAAATATGAGAATGTCCGAACAAGTGTGTCAAACAAGTGTGTGAGCGAATATTCAAAATGAACAAATCAATAGACAGTCTTAACATGACTGGCTAATTATAATGGAATATCGATCCATATATACATAGCAAAATATATCAGACTGTCAAACAAACACACATATTATATGGATACATATCAAAGGTATAAGCCTAAAGTATTTTAAAAAAGCGTTAACATCTCTGAGTTAACTACTAACGCCTTTAGTTGACAACTTCGAAGTAACGAAAGTATAGAATTAGTGTGAAAACAGGAAAAGTATTGTCATGATGATAACTTGGCGAAGGTGTCCTCTTATTTTTTTTGACCACTTACTAGTCAGGCAATATACTGTTACAGTTACATGGCCTAACAGTTAGGTAATTACACTGGAATATGTGACTTAGAACCACGATCCAGTTGGAATGTCGTATGGAAATAGTCAATTACTCGTAAAACCAAGGCAGTTTTGTTTGTCAGACATACTTAACTATCAATAATTATGTCACTATGGTGAAAGTACTTCTAGACTAACGAAGTCGAGGTGGTTAAGACGTCAAAAAGGTAACCGCTGCAGCTGATAGGATATGTCAAAGTTGTGCAAATAACACGATTTTCGTGGCATGTCATCCTCCACTACATAGTTCCATATTAGATAAGTTTATGTTAAATGTCACACACTGATTCAGTATTAACAACTGGATGACGTTTCGAGCATAGAATATTGCTCATAATCACATTAGTTTTAGTCACACGGTTTCACAATTTGTCTTATACATACTTTCTTTCTGCCTCTCCGAATTCCCTTTGTTATTCCGGTGTAGGCGTTGCATCATTCCAATTGCTCGTGTGCGGTATTGAATCGATAAACAAAGATTCAAAGATTAACCTGTCTCTCTTCACTTGGCTGTATTACTTTTTAGTATTTGCACCTTGTCCTACCCACCCTATTTTGTGATTTAATGCAAGTGAATGCAGTCCAGTGGTGGAGTTTGCTTCTAGGTTACCTAAATAAGCAGGGTCAATTATTCTAGATCTAGCCAAATTTTGATGTTCTTATAATCTAGTTGTTAACACAGAATCACTGTATGCTACTTAAAATAAACTTATCTAATATGAGATTACATTCTATCATGGTGCCCAGGTTCTGCACCACGTAGTGTTAGTCATTCATTTGGCACATAAAGTGTGAACCTTCTTTATATTTAAATTAAAATCTCTGTCCTCATGCAAAACTTTGCTTTTTGTAACTTGACAATCCCCATTCAGTCACTTAAAACAAAAGAAGGCGTTCAGCGAAGAGACTCTTTTCGGCGAATTCATTCACTGAGCTGTACAATCGCATATATATACAATTTTGTTTGTGTGTGTGAACATTACATTTATAAAGTTTAGATAATTATGTAATGTAAGTATTATTTGGCTTGGAGACAAACGTTAAGATAGAAAATAAAATAGAATTGATTAAGTGAATTGGATGACGTAATACAGTTGAATGAAATTCAGAGTAGGTCAGGTTGGCAACATTATTAATGAGTGGTGGTTAAAATTAAATAAGGGTGGGGTAAGAGAATAATACAGTTGAAAATAAGTAAGTTATTCGGATGACATAACATAGTTGACTAGAAATTGGACGTGGGTCAAGTTAGCAACATTGTTAATGAGGGTAGAGATTACAAAAGGGTGGGGTAGAGAATAATATAAATGAAGATGTGAAATAATAAAATGCAAAAGACAAAATAATACAATTAGTAAGACTGAAATTAAGAAAGATTACGTCCATTGTAGATTTAATGAATGAACGAATTTCTTTTGTATGCAGAGTTCAGGATTTAGCAGATGAATTGCCATTGCTTCTGCGATGTGGAGAAGTTTGATCCGTACACTTTTGGCAAGATTGCCTTGTATTCTGTAGATAACTTTGAAGTTTATTTCTGGTTTGACTTGGTGTCCAGAGTCGATCAAATGTTCAAGAATCGAGCTGTGGGGGCATCGGTTTTCTCCTTTATAAAACCATGAAGGTAAATGTTCGTTGACGCGTTTGGATAGTGAACGCTGAGTACGGCCGATATACCTGGCTCCACACGAGCAGGTGAATTGGTAGATGCACATAGATAAGGCCAACAGCGGTAGCTTATCCTTCACGTTCATACGAATCATTGGTCTCGTGGAGAACGTCAGTCGTAATTCAGCTGCTTTTTGTGTAGAAGGGAGGAGAAAGCTGATGCGTTATGCAAGATGTAACCACTAGAGATGACATAGGTATTCTACAATGTTCATGGAAGAATCAGTTGAATTCTTATAAATACAGTAAACGGATTTCCTGCCTCTCTTACTCTAAATGAATGAAGTCCACAAACTCAGATTTCAAAGCAATCACCTACCGGTGATAATCGGTAATAACTGTTTAGACAAAGCAACAAGAAGACTAATTTGTCCGAAACGTGTAATGTATGTGTGCAACACATTTCAAACAATCTGATCTCAAGACATAAAATTCACGTTAACACATCTTTTTAACTTATCTATAAAAAGTGTTTGGGGCGTATCCTAAAGTTTGTAGAAGCCCTAGCAATTAGAAAGTTCAAGCCACCTTTATGCGTTCAAAGCAACAATTCGTCATCACATTAAACCTTCCTTGGTAAACTTTGTTTTGATGCCATAGCAGATGTATTATTGCCTCTGTTATTCGATTTAGTGGCCTTCATTGTTATTTTGACCTTCACTATGTCCTCTTAACTTGACCTAAATTTATTTTCTCACCACTTAATTCTTTATTAATTTCATATATATTCCTATAACAAGTCAGTGTGTGATCAGATTGTTCAAAATATGTTGCGCAAATACATTACACGATCCAGACAAATTACGTCTACTTATCGCTTTATCTAAATTCATAAAGGAAACTAACCGTTCTAAATAATTGTTTGAAATTACGAATTTATAAAGAATAAACATTATAACTCATAGAATGATAAATGGCAACATAATAATCCCTTAATGAAACGGTTCTAAATTTAATCCTTCGTTGTAGAATTGTACTAATTTTTTCAGAAGTCAGGTAGTCCGAAACCGTTGTCCATCATGATTCTGTTCACATTGCTTTTGGATGTACTACATATGTATACTGAATTCGATTCTGAATTATTTATTCTCTGTTGACGTAAAATCCTCAAAACTTTTGACTGAAGGCATTTATTTTTAGCCTTATAACTCCAAAGTTTCGTTTATACTGTCTGGAAGTAATCAAGGGCATGAAAATGATAA